GCCTCGTTTTTGATCCTTTTGTTGATTTCCGCCTTTAATCCCCGTTCGAGTTCGGTCAGTTTCCCTCGGTCGCTCTCACTCAGTGTCCTCCTTTCATTTTTTGAGCCATCTCTTTTCCTCTTCAGGTGTAGTCTTTTGCGTCGGGTCGATCTCACCAACGGTTGAGTACTTAACGAGGATGCTCCATGCAGCGTCCGCGCCTCGTCTGGTCATACCCACGCGTCAAGCGGCGTCCTTGAAGAAAATCTCTGCGTCAGCCAGAAACTCTACACAAAAAAATGCACTGACGGCTGTCATTTTCGATGCCAACTTTGTCATATGGGACGAATCCGTTGCACAGGGCGTCGTAGTTGTTGTCCGCTGACGAGCGTTAGACCGATTGTGTCGCCGACCTTGTTGCCTTAGAGTCAAGATCGTCGCTCGTGGATTAGCGAATTGCGACCGAAATCCGTTTCTCGGTGTCGCTACAGGCCGTGGAGCCGCAGATGGTCTCATTATGGACCGTTGGCCTTTCGTTCTTAATACCGCAATTCCGAGTATCACCAGCACGACCACAAATACACTAGCTTTTGGGTTCATTGTATCAACGGATTAAATGTGACGAAATAATATATGACAGTCGCTGCACAAATGAAGTGAGCAGTCGTTTTATTCCCAGGACCACACCTACTTATTTACTTACTCCACCTTAGGACAACCGAACCCTGATACATTCTTTCCCACACTGTTGCACGGTAGGCGGTATAATGTGATTTATACTGATTGACCGCACGACCAATACTATGCGTGCGATTGTTGCACCTAACGAAGATCTGTGGAGCTTCGATCATTATGTAGCCGCTATGGCGACTGATGATAATATTAGTCACACTGTCATGTTGTCGCTGACCAATTCATTATAGCAATAGATCCCAGCGGCATTTTGGGCAAGGTCACCAGCGCAGTGCCTCAGGCCAGCTCAATGGAAAAGTTGTCAATTGGCATAAATTCGTGATCGGTCCACCCGTTTTGGAGTAAAGCCACATAACCAATGTCCCACAGCGAGCATGAGCAGAGGCACAAGTTATAAGGGCACAATTCTAGATTTTCATAAGCGGAATTTATCTCATATTTCCACAGCTTCTTTTTAAATTTGTAGCGCCAGAATTTATCTGAAAAAGTTTGCCTGGCAGAACGCAAACAGTAGCAACTGTAGTAGTGGGAGGTTTCCGGATCAAAATGCATTCGGCATGCATCTGATTGAAGACCATTTATTGAAGCCTCTGAAAGGACAATGTGAATACTACATATCTACATATATAAATATATATATTTCATGGACCGCGTTTCGTATTCTTTAGCCTAGCGATATGCTCAACTGATAGTACTCAACATAATAGCTATTATAAAATTTTATTGCGAGCTAGAAACATTGTATAGAAATTTCTGCCTCTTGATAAGCGCGGTCTTCAGTAATACTTGGTGGGAGCAAATTCTATTAATAATTTTACATAAATTGTACAAATACATATCGCATGTGCGATTCTTACATGTAGCAGTGAACGTATACTTCGACACGGTATTAAACATGAAACTTGGAAGTATATGGATACATCTGTATAGTATGGTACCATATTTTAGCACGCTTTGTCGTCACATTGTAGTCTCACACAACTGCATAACTTTGTTTTAAAGTAATCGGTAAAGCAAAGCCTTCATAATGATAGAAATAAACTACTTTTGTCGAAAAGCAACAACTTCTATTGCAAGCGACCATCTCGCTCAGCAAATGCCCCAATTTCATTAAGACTACTTTTGGGTGCGGAAGTTTTTGATCACTCAAGTAAAGACAGATTGTTCAACAAGATAATATCATTGTACCAAAAATCCTATAATAAGTATTTAGTTCGAACTTAAGCTACGCTAGGACCTTTTCGCCTCTATGTCTTCATTTCGATCACAAGCTTCCACAGCACAAGTGCAATTGGACCTAACGACCGATCACACGTTCCATGCCTGGTCATATACGTATCTGCTAAAGTCGTCAGGATCCAGAGAACGTATTTCGTGAGTTTTCGTTAAGATCTACATTGTGTATTGTGCAAGCGTTCACTCGGTGAAGGCACAGAAATAACTGGCACGTTATTTTTTGATAGTTGCCTTTGATACTTCGTATGTGCTCCAGCTGCACGGCCAAAACGCTCCGCAACGCTCCGACCTGTAATCGATAAAACCTTTGTATGGGAGAAAAATATTGCTTTTGAATTTAAGAAATGATGGCACCCAGATTAAAACGCTAACCGTGTTCGCTTTATTTGCCATCAACAGGTTCACGGTGTTCGTATCACAACTTCGATAGCTGCCACCCATTAGACTACTTGAACAAAACATTGCAACGAATAGTAGAGTCACAAATGCGCACCACGCATCTTCCCCAAGGTGTGGAATTGTTGTTCCCTTATATATTTACGTATGTGTTGAGGTACTTAGCGGTTCGCTATATTCAAACTCAGCCACACAATCAGTATTTTACCGTATATTGCAGTAGGAACATGCGCTTCGCTGGGAAGCCTTGCATTTCACAGAAGGCGCGAAAAGGCTCATCGAGGACATCTGGATAAGGTTTAAATAAAAAAAAAAGTTATTATCGTACGTTTAGCACATTAATAAAATCGCAATGTATATTTATATAGGCTACCTTTAGGTGTAATAATAATTGCGTGCAAAAAAAAGGCATGCACAGCGAAGTTCGATGGACGGAAACAACTGAATGCCGTCTAAAATACAGTGTATATAACCAAGTAGTTATCAAGGTATTTTTCACTATCAGGACCCAGTAATGTAGGTACTAACGTGCCGGAGTTAATTACTGTGTTGGTACTTTGAGGATTAAGATCATATGTAATTTCTTTCAACTCTGATTAGAGGTCGTCTAGAATTTTGTGATCATTTTTTGCCTTGTCAATCTGCTTTCATCTCTTTCTGCTATTCAGCTTTGGCACAGTGGCAAGCCCTACATCTAGCCATGGAGTGATAGCTATAGCTGAGCAACACTCAATTAGTAGATCCGATTTTTCAATGCTGATTCAGGATAAGCTCATATAGAAAGCAAATAGTAGCGTAATTCGCTCATATAATGGCGACGCGCGCCCAAATATTCCGCTGTGTTCGCTAGTTTCGCTAGTGAGGTTGTTATCCAAATGTTAGTATTTGACAAGATGCAATTTCTGGCGTCTATTATGTTTTTAACTACGGAACTCCGCGTCAGTATATCATGGCGATTATTGGAATTACATTATAAGGGAATAACAAACTGATTATTTAACCTATTTCATCTGTATTGGCAAGGAACCTCATCCAAGCGAGAGCGACTCGTATGAGCTGTCTCCGAAATCTGTTTTTCCGATATGGATATTGTGCCTTTAGGTTTGAATATGCCTTCGTTGTACGCCTAAACACAAAATAATACCGCAATAACCGCTAGTATTTAGCTGTAAGACTTCTGATACGAACGCAGTACTGCCAAGCTTGTTCATATTTTTTTTACCGTCGCCAATTAGGTCTGCGGGGCTGCCGATGTCCCAAAGTAGATGCCGAAACTACTGCATTAGCATTTCAATTTTACAGTCAATTACTTATCCAAGGTTTTGGTTCAAAAAAACAATAATTAACAGATTTGACAGGCGCTGCTTGACTGAACCGCCTGAAACTGCTTGACCTTTCCCACTTAATCCATTTTGGTTTTTGAGAATTGTATTCGTAATGCTATCGCTTACAGAGGTGATACATCGATGCTTTTCCATATTGAACCTACTAGATTGTCCCTGATTATTGAGACCTTCAGGACACTTGGTCCTGCGTAAAGTAACAATAAAACGGAATTCGCAACATTTCGTTCACCTCGGAGAGTCATCGATACACAGCACATGACACTTGTTGGGGCGCAGTTTACGTTATGTCGATGAAATGGCAGGAGCACTTCATGGCTCAATCGCCGAGAGACTGACAAGTTTTGGGAGACTCGTCTTTTAAATAAAGATTTCGCTTTCTGTCACTGCTGTGCTATGTACTTCAAATTTGAAAAGTACACCATTTCAGAATAGTTCACAGGACTCAAAGAACGATGCGCTAGTGTTTGGCAGGGCCCAAAGAATTTCTATTATTAATGATCGGCAAGGAACTGCTCTTTGTGGATAAAAGAATACATGCGTGTCGCCGCCCTGTTAGCTTTTAAATAGCTAAAAGATATTTCTATCTCATAGGCGATCGCTTTCTTGCTTACCTCCGCGATCAGCCGCTCTAATCATCGCGTCCAACGACTGACATTTCCTTTACAGCTAACAAATCTAGCTGACATGGCTTCGTCGTTTGCCATTTTCCGTGAATTCGGATTTCTTTTCCTACCGAGGTTCAATGCATTCACTCAATTCAGCAAAAGGGTTTACAGTGGAGCTTCTGAAATATGTAAATGGTATGCAAATGGGATACTTATGACAAATGGCAACTGTTTTTGTTCTGAATAGTACTGGTGACTGGTTATAGTACATTATGATACAGCACGTTTTGTGTAATGTAAAACTTCTTTTGTCATTATTTTTCTACTAACTTAGGGCTTCTCAAAACTGTAGTTTCGTGAATAAGTTGAAGTTTATGTTTTGTTTTACGCACCATTAATATACTGTCACTAATCGTACGCCACGCTCTATATGCTTTATTTTTTATGTGTCGCTTTTTTTTTTGATGACGATTGTGCTTAGCAAAGGATTTCGAACGTCTATACGATACATTATTGCATTGCAATTTGTGTATCGGATTGCTGTTCTTTAGGGCATCTAGTTGCGTTACCGATCACGCTGCTCGTGCAAAGTACATTGGTAGATGTCAAGTGGCGATGGCTGCAAAATCATTCAAATAACTTTTTTTCATTTGTAAATGTTTCTGAAGGGCTACGGAGTTAGGAATTACCTCTGAAACAGGCCTTGCCGAGAGACCTCAGGCCTTGATGAGCATAGGACATGTTAGACAGGCGTCGAGCGCCAGCATCGTGTCAACATGTCGACATGCACAACAGCCTCAGCTCCACAGCGAGAACGGTTGCTCTCATCACCACGACAATTTAGTGGTGGTACCAGTACGTTTTTTGCCGATGCTACCTAAAAGTGCACGAGCATTTTTGTTACGTTCAGGGCCAAACCCTGTGGAGGAGAGATTATAACAATAGCATATATAGCTCGAGCCGTGATATCGAACGTTGTTGCGGTTCGTTGTCCATCCTCCTTTCTGAGCCATAACCGTCTTTTCAGGGTACCAAATAACCAAAGTAAACAATCAAATCTATAGCGCCCAGTTGCCCTTTCCGTTACAGGTCATCCCCGCTCCGTACGTGAGTCTAGAGTCAGCGTATTGTCTGCAAGGACAAGTCATGAGATCGTTTCGACCAAGCTTAAAACAACTAAAACGATGCCCGTGTTTCACAAAGCCGCTAAGGGCCATGGAGATGTTATGACAGTCGCGATATAAATGACAATGGTTGTTTGTGGATCGATTCGCTGGCCACCTGTAACAATTATCAGTGCCCGTCCAACTCGTTGAAGTGCTCATTTTTACATTTATTTTGCGCCTTTAGGTTGTAAGAAAATTATGAATATTATTGCGTTCAGAAATAGTGCCGTGGTGTATGGTGCTCATGTTTTTTGGGGTCAACTGTGTACCATGTACTCTAACGCTGAGGTTGCTCGTATAATGAAAAGCGGAACACCGCCTAAGTGATTGCGGACCTGTTACCGTTGTTGCATAGATTTAGATAGCACTAAGATCACTGTGAATACTTCTATTGACTCTCATATCCATGCGTATATTGTTTTTCGTGGAAGACTATTATATAAAAAGCATCGGCGAAGATGTCGGAATTCACGGCTCGTCGTGCGATGTTCGGTATTAGAAGGTCAAACTTTTTTACTCTAGTTTTACTCGGAGGACTCATATGTTATCTATGTTTCGGCGCTCTCATATTTACCTATTTCGAGCACAACCATGAGCAGCAACTTCGCGATAACTTCCGTCATTTTCGAGCGGATTTTCTAATAAAACACCGTAACGGCATTAACGATTCGGATCTCGAACGATTTCTGCACGAGGCGCTCATTCTTCAGCAGAACCGGATTGATCCAATAGCAAATGCTAGTGATCTACCCCTGTGGACATTTTCTAATGGTTTGTTATTTTGTACAACGTTGATTACCACCGTTGGATACGGCAGTGTGACGCCGTTAACCTCGTCTGGGCGAATACTTTCAGTGTTGTACGCCGGCTTCGGTATACCTCTGACTTTGCTGTTGATGGGTGCTATAGTCGAGCGGCTTCTGCAACCCTGCCGAGGCCTTATACACTACCTGGGGAAGCATGGTCGAACGTCACCATTAGAACGGAAGATGATCAACCTTTTTGTGGTCGGTCTCCTATTCAGTGTCTTTTTTTTGTTGCTGCCAGCCGCCATCTTCACTTATATTGAGCCAGATTGGAACATCGTAGACTCGTTATATTACTGTTTCATCTCACTGACGACGATTGGCCTCGGAGATCTCGTGCCCAAAGGAGATCGGCGCAGCTTCACAGCTCACGAATGGTATACGGTGTCAGTATCCGTTTACCTCTTACTAGGTATCTGCTTCGTGCTTCTTTTACTCGCTGTGTTCTATGATGTGCCTCAGCTTAATCTTGGCGCATACTTTCTCCTTAGCAGCGATTTGGAAACTATGGACGAAGAAGCCACTGAAAGTGTCACGGTTTACATGTCCGTCAAAGAAAAGTCGAGACTATTTGAATCGATTAACAAACAACCCGCTCGCAAGCTCACCATGTAGTCAAATGAATTCCAGCGGAATATTTACCATTCAATGCTTAAGCGCATTCAAACAAATTCACGAAGTTCTTGACGCACACGTCTTTTTATCTGATTTGATATGCTAACTGAGGAAGTGTTACTCAATAAACTAGCACATTTTCTACGATGATACTGCGTGTAATTACTCTAGGACAACCGTTTATTACGAAATTATACATTCAAAATATGATAAACGTAAGCACACAAAGAGCAACACAGCCGAGCAACAGGCCGAGCAAATGAATATTTTCCCCTTTATAAAGGTGTAAGTATTTCTATGTTTCATTCTTTCAATCAGACGCACATTGCTTTTTGTTTAGATAATTCAGCAAAATAATCTACATATATTTAAATTGATAAAAGTTTAAAAATCTTTGTTCCCCAAATTTGATTAGAGTGGAAAAGTAGTTTAGCTTTTAAATTATTTATTTTATTTATATTTAATT